TTTCATTCTCTCTCTCTCTCTCTCTCTCTCTCTCTATCTATCTATCTATCTATCTCTTTCTCTCTCTCTCTCTCTCTCTCTCTCTCTCTCTCTCTCTCTTGCGTTGAGGAGATAGGGAGGGAGACAGACAGGAGATGGGGGTATATAGGTATGTTTGTCTTTTCGGTAGACAGTTGCTATTGCTGTGTGGGTGGATTGGAAAATTTCTTTAAACAAATTCAATCTCCTCCACCAACCTCCTTTTTTAAAAAATCGACAACAAAACAGCACACCTGCTGATCTGCACTCTTCTCATTGTAAAAAGAGGACTCCTGGTACAAAACGTCACACTTCTCACTTCTTAAGTAACTCTTTTCTTTAACTTTAAAAGGGAAAAAAACTCACCCTTCGTCAAACAAAACTTCAATCAGGGATACCTTCGTAAATTAATCAGAGTTCAAAGACGTGGCCCGCGAAGGTGTTGACGGTCAAAAAAAGTGCGTAAACCAGCATGCACCTTTATTGGGGTTACCCGAGGAATGAACCAGGCCACGTTTGGTTGTAACTTTGAGTTACAATATCAGAGCTATCATATCGCCATGGATCGTGAGCTTTTCACGCTGGTAGAAGCTCTTCTACTTTCCCAGCCACATCGTACAAGTTTTTGCGTGCCGTCACTCTTGACCCGTATTTTTTTCCTTCTATTTGATGACCTTTTGTATTGTTTGTCTGTATCCCGTCCCCCCCCCCCCTCTCTCTCTCTCTCTCTCTCTCTCTCTCTCTCTCTCTCTCTCTCTCTCTCTCTCTCTCTCTCTCTCTCTCTTTCTCCCTCTCGCTTGTTTGTATTTCCTTTGCTCTTTGTTTCTCACATTTGCCCATTTTATTTCTTAAAATGATACATTTTAAAATATTCATTTAAACTTTTCGTCCTAAAAAATTATGTCCATATTATTATATTCATGAATCACTTAATGTCAATTACATTTCTCGAAATAATATACTACTACTTGTTAACTGCATGTTCCTCTGTATTGTCTTTCTTAAAATAATCTACCAACTCTCGCTTTTATTTGCATTGAAATTTAATTTTTAAAATGACTATTTACTATATATGCCCATCTTAAAATGATATAATGACTAAGTATACGAACAAAAAAGGTGAATTTCCTTAACCTGCCTCACATGGTTCGAGCGGATCAGCATGTTTGTCATCATTCTGAACTGTGTGACTCTGGGCATGTATCAGCCGTGTAACGACGTGGTCTGCGATACGTTCAGGTAAGTTCTGGAGCTCCCTC